TAAAACTATCAAACCATTTAGGAATATCTATGTTATGTGTTATAGCAGCATCATATATTTTGCAACACAATCCAAAGAGCAGGAAATTGGTAACAGGGGAACAAGAGGATAATCTATGTAGGCTGGGGTCATACGCTCAGCTAATACTGACTTGAGTGAACTTCAGGATGTTATTATACCTCTCTAATGGAGATACCGTCTTCAGGGGATGTTAATATCTACCCCACTCCTAAAGTTGTAAGAAAAATGAAGTAATATGGGTGAAATTCCCAGAGATCTTCAAAATCCTGTTTAACACCAAAATATTTTAGTTGTCTTTGAAGCCACAGATGTTTTGTGAATGCAGTATGTCCCCAGTAGGCAAACCCTTCCCCTCCCCTGCCCCCTGCAGAGGGCCTCCCAGGCCAAACGGGCACTGGCATGGCACCTGAGAGCTGGAGGGAAGGGGGGGCAGGCGTTCACACCAACCATACCTCAGGTGTGCAGGCTCTCCTCCAATGGACTTCTCTGGCGGAGAGCAAACTCTGCTCTCAGTGAAAGCTGATTCCATCTGACCGCTCTTCTGTTGTTGTCACTGACCTTTCTATTTTCTCTTCCAAGCTGGATTTTTCCCACTCAGACTACCTGCAATTTTAGGAAACCCTCCTGCTTTCCTTGCCCGTCACCACCTTCCCCAGCCCATATTCCCTTCTTGCTTCCCTGATGCCTGCCCTCTCATCACACACCAGGCTTGGTTCTCTGACCCCTCGCTGAACTCGCCTAAGAAGGGTATTATGCTAAAGCAGGTGATGGAGAAGCCTAGACAATGGGAGAGACAGGTGAGAACAGGGCTCAGAAAAACAATCCTGGTAACAGCATTCAGGGTCTGCACCCCAGGAAAAGTCTGGTTATAGAAAAAATCAGCAGAACAAATAGTTTCTTTCTTGCTGAGCTCCCAATATAGAGGTCGCTACTCAGAATTGAGTGGCTTAGCCCATTAGGATATTCTTTACTTGAACTTTGGGCAGACTCTCTGCATCTATTAATATCTCTCTCTCTCCCTCCCCGCCCCCACCCCCCGCCTCTCCAACTTATTAGTCATGGTAGAGTAAGTATCAGTACTGGTCCCTGAGAAGGAGTTGAAAAGTGGCTGTTCAGAGAGCATGCATTAAAAAAAAAAAAAAAAAAAAAAAAAAAGGAAAAAAGTATATGCATTCACTGTCCTCCCACCCTTGGAAGAGTAAAGGACACTGCCCCCGCCTCAATTTCTCTACTTGCCGTCCAGTTCCTCCATCTCCAGAGCTCAGTTGTTTCTTGCTAGGAAATCCTCTGTCTATGCTATCTGCTGACATTTTATTTACGACACCACTTCTTTCCATTAGCATACGTCACTGAGAGTAGACTGTATACCCTTAACTCTGGATTACATAGCTGCAATATTGATCATCTGAAACCATTGTTTTTCAAATCCTGAGCTAGCTTCCCTACACCATGTAAGTCATTTCTCAGTTGGTTTCATTTATTGTCAGTTCGTTTGTGCCAAAGAGAACAGTTGATTTTTTTCTTAAAATGATCACATACTTACTCTGTGCTAAGTGCCTTATCTTTCTAATTTTCGAAATACCTTCACAAGACAGGTACTTGCTATATTATTCTCAAGTTACAGATAAGGAAACTGAGGCTTAGAGAGGTTAAGTAACATGCCCAAGTCACTTGGCCAAGGAAATTGAATTCATATGTGACTCCTGCATCAGATTAGCCCCAAAATGGATCATTTTAAAGCCTATAAGGAACTTGTACGAGCTTCCCCCTGACATTATAATTCTAGTGTCTGTTTTGTACCCTGTATTTTTTGCTTTGGATCTAATGATTCAGACTTGCCATTTCTGGCCATAGGCTCAGACCTGGAAAACCATCCACAACCACTCATTTTAACTTCATTTCTCCACACTGAGAACAGCAACCTGCAGACTGCATCTATTCCCTGTATAATGTTGAAAGCCCTTTTGGAATCTCTGTTAGTAAAAAGCAGAAAAATAATGGGAAAGAAAAATACTTAACATTTCTACTGAGTGATATTGTTTCAAATCCAAACATATAGAAATGAAAGCTGTGGACACCTGGCTACTCTGAAAATACACCCCATTTAGTGAGACAGTTCCTGAAATGCCTGTGTTCCACCAAGATAGCACCTTAATAATTATTGAGAGCATTTTCCTTTAAGGAGCTCCTAAGTGCTTTCTTCGCAAACATATTTCCTCATTAGCTATTATACCATTTTTCTGTGGCAGTGAAGGCCACAGGATACCCTCCCCTATTTAAAGTGTGGGGTTGCTGGTGCACTGAGCAATTTAAGCGGGTTGCCCTCAGGTCCCACGGACAAGGCCTGGGCTGGAGTCCTCAGGGGTTGTGGGCCACGGTGGGCAGAAGGCAACTAAGTCCACAAAGGACCGTGGCAAGTGCTTGGACCTGCTTCTCACTTTCAGAAGGGAAACAAACCGAGAGAGAAGAAAACACTTAGAAAGCCCAGGGTCACGCATAATTAACGGCCAAACCAACACTCTGTGCATACAAACAACATACAGATCTATGCTATGAAGGGAAAGATGACAACTGTGAAGAATCAATTTAAAGTCAGATTAGAAGGGTGTGAAAGTAAAAAGGCTTCCTCAGTGACCTTGCCTAGAGGAAAAACACAGTAAAAGAAGGAAAAAGTTTCAAACAGCGAGAGCTCTTTAGCATAGAAGTTTCAACTTCCTAGCAGCAAAAATACCATCTGGTACTTAAGAAGGCGTGCTTCCCAATAAAGGTGACAGGTGGACATATTTTAAAAGATAGTTGGCCGGCCTATCTTAGCCTCTAGAAAGTCTACCGAAAGTACCAGGGTGGCAAAGACCAGCTTGAGTTCCAAACGTGTTTACAGCTGACAGAAATGTTTCAACTAAAAATAACACGCATGACTATCTCTCCTATGGAGTCTCTCAGTTCAAAAAAAAATGCATCTATGTAAACTCCGCACATAGGCTGAACTCTTCACTTAGGAATGAGACTTCCTGAAATTCCCTCATTTTAATCTAAAAGTGAAACAAATGTTTCTCTTCTAACCCTGTAATCCTGTGGATGATAGGGTCCCATCAGTGAGAGGCGGGGAAGGAAATCAGAAGAGAAATCAGAAGAGAGTCGACATAAGCAGGAGGCAGGCCAGGACCTTTGTGAATAAGTAAAAGAAAAAGACTTCAAAGGTCCATGAAATTAAGACATTTGTGGAGTAATTCCCAGACAAAACAGCCATTTCTTAAAATCATGTGTTTCAAAACATGTCCTTTTATGTTTACAAACACAATGAGAAAGCTTTCTAATGGGATGAAGTTTCATAAAACAGATCACGACCATAACGCGCCAACACTGACTCTGGCATATAATAAGCACTCAGTAGATGGTGGCTGTTTTTATGGCCATTATTACCAGGACACATCAAACCTCTTCAGTTTCATAATGGAAAAAAACAGGAAACACAGATTGAGGCAGATATTTTAATTGGAAGTTAACTCAAATTGAGGAAATAGATGTCCTACCTTGATGCATAGTCCAGATGTTGAAATATTACCCTAGAGAGCTTTGAAGGCTTTGGGTAGTGGTGCGGGGCGGCGGGTGGAGGGGTTAGGCCGGGTGGTGAAAGAGTACGTGGAAGGCCTTTCCTGTCTGAGGTAGGTGGTAAGAAAGGAGGGGGGAGATGGAAATGCCTTGATTCAGTTCCTCCCACCTGTCAAGCACAGGGCTGAGAACCAACACCACCAGCAAAACACAAGTCTGTTTATCCAAAGAGATGTCACAGGCCTGGTGACGTTACTTACAGCAGAATACCTGATGTGGCCATTCAGTGACAATATTCATACTTACTTTACTGTTTTTAACAAACTTGATGATTCGGTTCCTTAAGTAAGGAACAAACCAAAGCAGTAAACTGAGGAGAAAGAAGAGTTTTAACCAACAGACTCAGAGCAAAGGAGAAAACTATTTTTAAAATTGACCCAAAGGTTCAAAAAAAGTGTATGGAAACATTTAATGGGCAGTGGGAAGAGGGTGGGTAGTGTTGTAATAAGAATACTGTGCAATTATTCCCACATCACTGTTGGTGGTCTGCAAAGTGATTTCATATGTTTTCTTATGTCAACACCAGCACAGTGAGGTAAGTAGGACAGCATACCTCAGAGGCATTTGGAGACTTGTCAGAGCGGTGTGTCATATGTTGGGGCCTGGATTTGAGCAGGACCACCTGAGATCATCACATTGTTCACCATTTACTCGACCTCCACACCAGGCAAGGCGTATCTGCAGTTCAGTCCAGTCAAGACACAATAGCCAATTAACTCTTAAGTTACATTTTAGGACGATTTCTATCTAAGCTAGATAAAATTGAGAGTGAAGCTCTTCAGAATGACTTATTCCTATGTTGGCCAATAGTTGCCAGACCTAAAATCAAGGCATGAGTGTGTTTCCTAGATAGAATACTGGCGGTGGAGAGTGTCCCCAAGGAGCCAAGCTATGTGATCATTGTTCTTAGTTCCCAAAGATTATCGAGAACCCCTTCTCTCCAAAGATCTTTCCTCTCTCTTATTTCTTTTATTTGCTTTATAAAGTTAATGAGAAGCATATAGTTAAATCCTGTAATGATGACACTGAAAATGACCCCCTTGAAGGAGCCCTCCCTTTTCTCCACAGGATGACCTTTGAAGACTGTTAGCAGGGAATATCTTGTAGCTTTCCAGGAAAGCCATTTCCTGACACAGGCAAACAGAAAACTCGAGGCTGCCTTGGCATCACCTTAAGGCAAGGTTTCTCAAAACATGAGAGGCCAGGAAGGACTGGATCTTTCTAAACAAGAGTGATCCATTAATGAATCAGACTTAATTTTTTTTATTTTTTTTGTTTTTGTTTTTTGTTGTCTTGTTTTCCTCTCTCTCATCCTCTCTCCCTGTGTCTCGCTCTGTCCTGCTTGCTGTCTCTTCCCACATCAACAGGTGAGAAGCCCCACCAATGCAGCATCTGTTGGCGCTCCTTCTCCTTAAAGGATTACCTTATCAAGCACATGGTGACACACACAGGAGTGAGGGCGTACCAGTGCAGTATCTGCAACAAGCGCTTCACCCAGAAGAGCTCTCTCAATGTGCACATGCGCCTCCACCGGGGGGAGAAGTCCTATGAGTGCTACATCTGCAAAAAGAAGTTCTCCCACAAGACCCTCCTCGAGCGACACGTGGCCCTGCACAGTGCCAGCAATGGGACCCCTCCTGCAGGCACACCCCCAGGAGCCCGCGCTGGCCCCCCAGGGGTGGTGGCCTGCACGGAGGGGACCACTTACGTCTGCTCCGTCTGTCCCGCAAAGTTTGACCAAATTGAGCAGTTCAACGACCACATGAGGATGCACGTGTCTGACGGATAAGTAGTATCTTTCTCTCTTTCTTATGAACAACACAAAAGAAACAAACACACACAAAAAAAAGCTATGGCACTAGAATTTAAGAAATGTTTTGGTTTCGTTTTTACTTTCTTGTTTTTGTTTTTGTTTCGTTTCATTTTGTACTACATGAAGAACTGTTTTTTGCCTGCTGGTACATTACATTTCCGGAGGCTCGGGTGAATAATAGTTTTCCCAGCCTCCCTCGGATGGTGGCCTTAAGGCCTGGTAGTGCTTCAGGAGGTCCACTGGTTGGATCTCTAGCTACTGGCCTCTAAATACAACCCTTCTTTACAAAAAAATATTTTAAAAAAAGTAAAAAAAAAAAAATTTTTTTTCACTTGTGAAGAGCACTACAAAAATATATAACAAAATCTAAAAGGCCGACTGTCTTTAAGTACACCGCTTGCAGTGTTTCAGTGGACATTTTCACAATTCTGGCCGCTTGGACTTCACAGTAACCAGTTAAAACTGTGGAATGTCACTTCTGGTTGAAAACCCAGAGGAAAGGCCCTGCTGTTTTCCACCTACCACAATGTCTGATTCCGTAAAAGGGCTGTGGAGGCGGGAGGGGGCAGTGGGTTTGGTGATGTGGGAAAGGCGAATGGCAGGCATCTCCCCAGATTCTGCTTGGGTCCACACACCCTGGCCCACCTCCTCCATGTCCCCCCTATCAGCAGAAGCCAGGAAGACTCGGACAAGCATCAAGCAACAGTGGCTATCGTATTTATTCAGTGTCTTCGCTGAGCCACAGCCTCAGCACAATCAAGAGGGACTTTCATGAAAGGCAGGAATGCAGATAAAACAAAGATATCAGAGGTTTGCACCTACGTTTCTAGGTACAAGAGAAGGATTATTTCCAACAATCTTTGCAAAAAACAAAAACAAAAAAAGTCAGGATATATTCTTGTGGAAGAGAAAAAGAAAGAGGAATGGAGGGTGGGGGGAATAATGAAAAGTTCTTGAGGCTTTTTTAATTCAAAATTTTATAGAGGGGCAAAAGTGACGTTTACCAGATAGAATGCTGATTTTTTTAATATATTTACAACAGTATTTGTGTAAAAAAACAAAAAAAAGCGAGATTGTTAAAAGTAATTTGTTTTCCATTTTGATTTTGCATACACTGCCACCAATCCCTTCTCTTTTATTTTATTTCACACACATATATATATTTTTTGGTAAGTCAAGACTGTTAAGGTTAGCGATACTGCTTCCAGATAGAAAGAATAAAAGGCAATTATAGTTATATTTGAAAGAGAGGAAGGATATTTTCTTCATATTTTTTTTAATTTTTCTTAATTTTTATTATTTTAAGTATTGCCTGGGTTGATGAGGGCCGCTGGGGCCCGCCCACCCCTGCTGTAATTTGAACTGCTGCTTTGTATTTGATATGTAGTTCTTTGACTTTTAGCAAGCTTAGGTTGCTCCACTGAATATTGTTTTCAACTGATCCGTTTAGAATTCTGTTCTTTTTCATGAGAGGGACTTGAACTTTCAGAAATAGATTTCTTCGTTCTCTAAAAGTTCATTGATTCTAAGGTTTCTATTGACTTGACTTTTTTCTTTGATGAAACACTAGTGGTTTAGAGGTCTTGACAAAGGGGTTCTTTCCCTTTGTGTTCAGCCTGGAGGAGGAGTTCACAAAACTCTGCCGTAGCTCCTCACCCTTCACAACTACACAGAGCAGAGATATCAGAAGCCTGTTACAGAGCAGGACGCCTTGATGCCAAAATTACTTTCTTCCTTCCAAATATTACCTTCCAACCATTTCCACCATGGTTGAGAGGGCGAAGTAAGGTGATCGTTCTTTAGCTGATTTATTCACCCTTGCTTTTTGGAAAGGTTTTAAAGAAAGGAACAAAATTTCCCAGATGCCAACATCCATCATTCAAAGGCCACCAATCCACTGCATCGTCTTAGGTGCCACTCTCTCTTCCTAGTTGGGATTTCTCTCCTCGGTCCTGATCAAGGTATTATAGTAGAGATTTTTCCATTTATAGACAGTGTCCGGAAGGGATTCCAATTCAAATGTAGAATTCTTTAAGCCTATCAAAAACGCCAAAGGTGATTACATTGCTGGGCATATGTTTAACACACTTAAGGGGAAAATTAAAACTTTAAACAAAGCAGAAACACCAAACTAGAATTTTAAAGAGAAGAAAATAGAATATTTTAGTTTTAAAATTACTTTGTATTTTAACTAATTTTTCTTTCAGCAACTTATTTTCAAAAACTGTGTAGAAAGGAAAAGTCTTCCACGGGAAGCAACTCTGTGATGACTACATTGGTTTTACCCGTATATTTTGGACTTTTGATTAACTCAGATCTTTTCCAGAAGTTCTTGGTGATGTTTAGTAGGGTTAGCGCAACTGGAGTATGTGTGAGTTTGATTTAGTCCTGTGGTCCTTAATTCAGTAAATATCTTGCTAGAAGTTTTAATGTACTTTTGGATGGTTAATTGACGGTTGAATGTCACCCATCATGATTTCTGAGGGGAGTCTTGCCAAGAATTGTGTGTCCAAAATTGGCCTGTTTTAAAAGTAAAAAACAACTTCAGAAATAAGAAAGTGTCTATTTTTCTCTTGCAAATTTGGCTTTTTAAAATAGCAATGTTGTAAGACTCCCATATTTCCACTTAATACCAACAGAGGGAGCATTAGTTAATTAACCATGACTTGGAACTCTTTCGATATTTTGAAAACAAGTCATTCAACCCACAAAATAAAAAAGAAAAAATTGACATTAAAAGAAAAAATTGTTTTACTCTAGAGGGAAATGACACGATAGCACCCAGCATACACTATAAACGAACAAAGGCCAAAAGCCACTTTAAAATATTTCCAATTATTTGACAGTAGCTTTTAAAATAGTGTCCTTATTTAAACCTTAGCAAAGTAGACAGAATTCATAATACCTCCAGAAGACTTGATCCTGGATGCCCTTATGGGCCACATTTAGCTTTCTGATTCTCAAATTCAAAGGAGACCCATTTGCCTTAATGCTGATTTGCCGTGTAAAAAGCTAAGCAATTGGGTTAAAACCCACCTTTTGTTATGGAACATGTAGGAGAAAAAGTTCCCACTGGGCTTGAAAGCCTAATTATCATTCCTTTCCTTCAAAGGAAGCATCTCTTTTTTAAAAATGTTGGAGGATCCCTAAGGAATTTTTGGTGAGGTGAAGTTATCATTATGACGACATGGACCGTCCAGGTTTGCATAGCTGTAGACTTTTCTACATGTCTTCTTGTGTGTCTGTTCCTCCCAAACATCTCACAGCCTAACATAGTTGACAGATTGTTCTCTGGACAGAGGAAGAAGCTAGAATGGAGTGGAAGATCTAGTCTGAAGGAGCAGTGTAACCACTGCGAGGCCATTGCCATAAGTTTTGGCCTCCGAAAGGGCAGCTTTCCAGACTGACCTACATTTTAGAAAATAAACCAGTCATACTGATTTCAGAAGGATAGAGATGCTTTTAGGTTGTCAATCTTTACTTTTAAACAATCACGAATGTCTTAGGAAATTGGAAACATTTTGTTTCAAGAGTAGAAAATGGACATGAATCCTTTTATTTCTTGACTTCAAATCTAACAATCGCCTTGAATTTAGTACTTCATGCTAGGGTGCTACAAGTGCTAAGAAAATTTTTGTCAGTAGCCAGGGGAAAATGAATAGGGAAAATGGAAGCAAATGTTCCAGATTTAACACCTCTTAGGATGAGTATGGGATGAGTACAAGAACTAATGTGGGTAATAACATTTTTAAAGCAATTTATGATTTTAAACTGGGTCAGCTGAACAAGCATAAGGGAAAATGTCAAAGAGGAATATGTATCTCAAGGCATTTATATACAGTTTTGAAGAAGAAAATTTCCTAGCACTGAAACCTTGGTAGCATCTCAGCATAGTGGACAATTTCCCCCCTATTAAATGCCAATATTTGTACCCCCCCCCCCGCCAAACCCCAAATGTGTAAAACATAGCCCTAAAAGGAAGGAATTGGAACAGATGGATCTGAATGAGAAATAAACGTCCACCCAAAAAATCTGAAATAATTGTAGATCAAAATGTTTTTTACTATATATTTTAATTGAGTTGTAAACTTTAGCTCCTAATAAGAGTTTTATAGACTTTCTCCTCCCCAGATTTCTAGTGCTCTGAATCTGTTTGGGCCATGAGAAACTCTGGTGGATAATTGCCTGCTATGTTCCAGCTGCAGTCCATTTCTTTTCCTAGGCATCCGGGAGGTCACACTAGCTCCTGGTCTTAGAAAAAACAAATTGGATTTGCTTTGTTTAGAAGTCATAGGGGTTTTATTTTGTATCATCCCAATATTCTACCAGGATCAAGAAAACCCTTTCCCAACATGTGAACAGCTGGAATCTGTGCATTCTTACGTGAACAGAGAAAAGGTTTCATCTGTGTGTGTTTGTTTCACCCAAGTCCTAATGGCCTCACCTACATGTACTTCCATCATAAAAGCAAACCAATAGCATGTGCCCAGCCCATGCCCCAAATCAGTGTTTTCCCTCAGCACAGAAGTTCAGAATAAGGCATGCCCCTTATAAATCCCTCAGATCCCCAAGGGAATATAGCAAAGGTTCATGTTGCTTCCTAGTGTGGCTCCCATAATGCTCTCAACACCTGTTGCCCTTAGGAAAGGGGGCAATGAAGTAGTTCTGGCCATCCTTCATACTGGATGTGCCCATTCTGGAGCCTTTCTCTGTTGTTACAGATGTTATTTAATCAGTTGGGGCTGGGAGCAAAGGATATGTGACTCTACAGCAAAGGTATTAGATAACCCATCTGCCTCTACTATAGCCAGTGTGCTGCTCTAGCAAAAAGAAACAAAACAAAGGTGCAACCGTAAAAGCAGACACAACCCGAGATGCCCTTGGGATTTAGGATAATGGGAGAGTGCCGTTTGTGTTGTGACCTGACTCTTAAAAGAAATCTTCTGAAAGAATTCTTTAATTTAAGACTGAGTTGAAGTCCAGGGTAATGGAAGCCCTGGGGAAGAGAACAAAAGGATTGCAGAATGCATTCAGCACCCAATAATACAAAACCAAAAACATCCCATCACAACACTAGGAAGTTTGGCAAGAGGCATTTAGAGAAATCTCTGCGCTTTTCCATGGGTAGGTCGACAGACTTCCTTTTGAGTGATTTCTGGCTGTGAGAAACCTCTTTACTCACTAGAAAAGAACGTTATTTAATTGTGTCCCCCAGAAAGAAATTTAAAGAGGAAAGAAAAATAGGATACTAAAGACAGAACCATGTGACTCATTGACAAACAAAAAGAAGGGCGCACTGGAATTTAAATAGAGCCCCTAATTCCATAGAGAAAGCAAGGCAGCCCAACTCCTCTCCATCTGCAGTGAAGAGAGTTCCCGAGCTGACCAGGCCACCGGGCTGCTGAGGCTAGGCATGACTTCCCGATCGGGATGGCCACAGCGCTTTCTGTTTGCACAAAGAAAAGGGCTGTTGTCTTAGGTGCCCAGGAAGTAAGATTACATGGGGCAAACTTTCAGAAGCAATCTCCACCCCCAGCCTCAGGTTGCATATGGAGACAGAAAAGAGACACAGAAGTGCCCTTGCTCTGGAGAAAGAATAGTTTCATGTTGCCAAGGGCCCTCTGTGTAGAGTTGCCATTTCAGCCCCCACAAGAGGAAAAGCTCTCGTGACTCAGTGTTCCTGCAGACACGGACCGTGGAAATCAGTAACCCAAAGCATCATTTCTGGAACTAGGTGTTAAAATGCTTAGCCTGGCCAAAATAACCCAAAGATTTTTCTAAGCGTCTGAACATTGTTTCCTCCTTGGACGCTAAATCCATAGTGGTCAGTGGTGTACATTAACAGATCCCGGAAAATGGCGAGAAACGCGAGGGTTGGTTGATTCTTTTTAGGATGAAGAGGCAGAGGAAGAGGGCAGTGTGGCACTGGTTCTTTTCAGAACTGTGCCTTTCACTGAAGGGGGTGTAACGATGCCCCACATGGAGACAAGAAACATCGCCTTGCCACACCACTAAGACACCTGGATTCAAGTGTCTCTTCCAGCCCAGACTATTGCTCCATATACTGAATATTTTCAGACTAAAATCTAATCTGAAGTAACCTCAGCTAAGGTATTTTTACAAGAAGCCACGTGTAGTAAAGAATGATTGCCTTAAGTCATACACCCCAGAGGAGAGGACAGAAAATAGAGAAATTAGAGACTGTGGAGACTGTGAACATTTCTTGCTTTTTAATGTTTGCATTATCACAAAAATGAGCCCTATTCGTGACTAATGGAAACAGTGAGTTTTTGGGGGGAGGCACCAAACTTGTCCAGAATTGGCTGCTCTCAGGAAATGGCTGCTATTTCCTGTCCTATTTCAGTGGCATGGCTCTGAGCTAGGGGTAAAATAGACATCAGATTAGCCAAATAGTGAATTCCATAGGACAGGATCACAGGTGCCTGGGATTCCATTTTTAATCATTTACTTAACAAAGAACAATCTCAACAAAACTTTCTTTCCTATTCAGTGTATGTCTCTAAACTTTTTTCTCAGTTTTAGTGAGCATCTGGTTTATCTGGTGGTTCTTTGTTAAATGTAAACTCACGACTTTCAAGTCTTCAGCAAAGGAGCCTACTCTGAGATCATAGGGAAAATCTAGCCACATTAATGGGAATCCTGGGTTTTGAGATACCTAATTAGGGTGTAAAAAGTCCCTACTAGCCCTCTTTCAAAATCAGAGGTTTCCTTGGTTCAAAATGCCTCAATGAGATTCTGATACACTCAATATAGGGAAAAAAAATTAACCTCATAGTAGACATTTGTTTCTACTACTGAGGCATCTGAAGTTCGTTATTGCCCAGCAAAATCATTGAAATTTATATGTAAATTCTAGTAATGAAAATGACTTAACCCCCCAGCATGGCACAACTGCTGTCCAAAATGTCTGCAAATAAATATACACTGTTCATGTATACATCCCGTGCAGGACGCTCTCAGTACAAAAGTGTTCCCAATTCATGTTCCCCGGCGACAAGATAGATTCTGGCACTTCCACTCTCTTGCCTTAGTTGGGTGTATCAGCGCCATCCACTCTCTGTGATGAGGCTTTAGGACAATCTGCAGCAGCCTACCCATCCGTGATTTCTATGTACCCCTTTCATGAGAAACTTGAATACATTTGTGTGGAGTCAAGTGCACTTAACCATCTCTGCACTTCTATTGGATTTACTGATGTGTGTGTGTGTGTGAACATGTGTGTTTGTGTGTACACTTATAGTCTGGGAGTGTGTGTGTGTGTGTGTGGTGTGTGTCTCAAAGGCAGCACACACAGGAATAGGTCCTGGTGCATAGATACAGTTGCTTCTTCCCACCATTGTGCTCCAGGCTTGTGGCTCTCTTCCCAGGAAGCAGTCACCTGCCCACTCTGTTGCTTTTTGTAGCATTTCAGAGTTGGGAGAAACAAAGGCAGCTTGTTGGATCCACAGCAAACCCACGGTGGCAGGCTGTTTTCCTCCAAAAGAAGGTAGAACAGAAGCACTCAACTGCCAAGTCCACAGGAGGAGCAGCAGCCTGGGGCACCGCCCCAGTTCTGGGAGGAAGGGGCACTGAGGCCGTGCAAGCAAGGCCCACATAAACTTTGGCCTGAGCCATTCCGTGGCTTAACGGTCTCCATTTCTTTCCGCTATGCAACCCAATGTGTGCACCCAAACACCCACCCACTTGTATGTCTCACTCCCAGACTAAAGCTTCCTGATCCTGTCCACCTCTGCAAGGCATCGTAAACTGTGTCTCCTAAAACCAATGTGGCCTTTGCCGAAGTCTTTCCAGGAATGGGTTGTTTACCATGCCTAGCAAACCAAAAGACTCTCGGGGAAGTATTTTTGCTGGTCTCTAAGAATTGATGGCTCTTGCCTATCTCCAATGTTAAAGTAGGTACTATTCTATATGCATGTACCTGGCTCTCATAGCTGACTTTGAAGGGTGGCCTGGAAACATTCAGTTTTCTCACTCCCATGACCTTCTTTTACTAGATGGTTTATTATTTTTTATGACATGTAGATTATTTCTGCTAATTTACAGAATTCAGAGGACATTTTCTTTCCTCTTCTATTTTGGTGACTTTCCCCTACCCCATTAATTAAGCAAAGCTACTTACAGTTGCAATCTTTTCCTTGTTATTATTTTTTAAAATGTATATTGTCTTTCTATATCCAAAAGAATCTGTGACTGTAACCATAGGTATTTCTTTTTACTGGAAAAAATGAGTTGTTGTTTTTTTTAAATTAACAGTACTAGTGACTTTGTGGAAAAATATGAGTTACTATTAGGGTATGCTTACTTAAGTACAGTACACTACATTGCAGTATTTCTGAAAGCTAGAACATACACATTATCTATAACAACTATATTGAAATATATATTACATTATATTCATTTTAACTTTTGAATCTGCCTATGATCATGAGTTGATTGAAATACTATTTCTTTGCATTTATCACCCATCACCAACCTGCTGCAGTTAATCTGGTGCATTTAATAATAATCATTACTGCTCTAGTTTGCTTTTTATATTATCAGCTTCAGTATTGTCTTTACAGGATTTTAGAATTTTTTTAAGCTCAGACTTAGCAAATGTAGGAAAGTGAAAACTTTTTGTAAAAAAAAAAAAACAAAAAACTTTTTTTTTGGTGTGGCTAATACAAAGAGGTTCACAGTCAAAGTGATGTTGTTAAGCTGACCCTCTCAATATCTGAGGAACAAAAGAAATGCATATGAATGTATCTGTGGTTTTCCCCTCTAGGACTGTCACTGTCCATATTTGCTTTAAAAAAAATACGGCCAAAAACCTGCTTAATCTCCATGTGGCCTGACCAACAACTATAGGCTGCATTTCAAAGGGCTGCTCATCTGAAAAGCATGAGGCAGTGAAATGCCTAGTTGTTCCGACTCTATTTTCAAACATTGATTTTTAAGATTGGTCTTTCCTTGCTGCTTCCTGTTTTCAGTATGCTTACAATTATTTTGACTAGTCTTTAATGCTTCCCTGGAGGCAGCGTAGCAGTATAATACTCACTTCCCTAGGAGAGTTTTTTAAAAATAACACCAGAGTTTGGAGAACTTTTCACGACAGAGGCTAAGAGAAATAGAACTCAGAAAAAAATGTATATATACATCTATATATAGTGTTTTAGTCTGCGGAATCAATAAAATAAGTGGTGGCTTGTGGGTACCTGGCCCTCAGTATCCCCATTTGTCTATTAAGGTGGGGATTTGGTTCACTTCTCCTTTAACCAGGCATCATGGGAACTTCAGAAATTAGGCATCCTGTCTTCCTTGCAAGAAATATTGTCAAATACTAATTTCAGAAAAAGAGCTCTTTCAGCTTCCTTCAGCTATTCAAACCAATGTCTGGAAAACTCCACAGTTGGATAAACTTTACATCCATCCTGGGTGCCTGAAACCAGTCTCATCCTCTCAGTTCTGTATTCAGGGCAAAATGGAAACAGCTGTTCATACTATTCAGCATGGAAGCCCTTCCCACACTGGACTAAGGCTTCTCAGTGTGAATAACACCAATTTCTCCCTTTCATCCTTCCCGATATATTCTTATTTTCAAACCCCACCCACTTCTGCAGTGCCCCTCCAACAACCCTTCCCCACCCTGTCCCCAGGCTTTCCTCGGCGCCCTCCGCTCGCAACGCCTGGTACTCAGGAAGGAACTGCCTGCTCTGGACCACTTTGAAGGGGCTAACATGGAGCCTGAGAGCTAAATTACCAGTTTGTTTTTCCAAATTTTTCAACTAAATATTTCTACTAGACAAACATATGTGAATTGAGAGGGAAGCTGTGTCCTTTTCCAATGATCACATAATAACCAAATTGTATCAATTTCATTATTTTCCTCACCCTTTCTCTTTGTTTCTTGTTTCTCATTAAGACTGCTTTACATCACCTCTTCTTACTACCATGCCAAGAACTCTAATAATTATCACTCCTGGGTGCCCATTCCCCTTCCTTTCCCCTATCCGACTATAAATGTCCTTCTTTAAGTTTTAGGTCCTTGAAGAGCATTGATGTGAGCTCATCATCTTGAGACTCGTAGGCAGAGTAAAGCATGTCTTCGTGGCACCTTCAGGTTCTAAAAGTTATCAATTTCTTTTCAGAGTAGGAGGACCTGAGTCACAGTTTTAAATGTCAACTGTACTAGCTGAGGTCATTAATTCCTTTCACCTTCACATTTGGCCGAAGATAAAGAGAAAAAATATTTTCTGTTTTTTTTTTCTTTAAATATCACAGTGTTCAAATTCCTGATATGAGTAGACCATTTCCAAGGGAGAAAAAAATAATAATGTTGACTATTTTAACACCTGCTTATATTTAGCCAAATTACCAGATACTAGATTTACAGAAATCTAGCAAAAGGGTTAACATTTCAAAATAATTTGGACAACTACTCAGGACTTAGTGAGCTGTTCTAAAATAAATAAAAAATGTTGTAGGAGACAATTAGGAAGAACTTTTGTCATTTGTTATCTTTTGGAAAAACATTAATTAATTGGTTTAGAACTTTAAACAATAATGTCCTAAGAAATGGAAAATTCAAAACTTTTCTAAAGTATCTACTTTGCAACGAGCTATTTTTAAACATAATAGGCGCTTAAATAGAATAATACGGCCGAGCAGATACTTGCAGGGCTGTATAATAACACTCCCAAGTTCCCAAGTACTCACCATATATTTTGGTCATTGTGCTAGGTCTCATTTCGCCGGAGCATTACCCAAAAGACGGATACTGCTCTGGACCTGTCCCTTCACAGGGTGTTGATAACGTGATCTCACCAACAACTTTGTAGCACAGTCCCTCCTGATGGCCAGACCCACTACACTCTTCCCAGGATGCTCTTTTG